GTAAATTAGAAAAAAGTAGCCTATGCCTATAGGTTATTGCTTGGAAGAATGATTAAATTAAAATAGTTTTTGAACCAACACATCGTAAAGAATTAGAGTTCCTGCACTTATTTTTTCCCACTTCAAGCACTGGAAACAATGAAGTATAGTTAACCATGACCCAAATGATGGGTATGTCATATGTGACAGTATTAGTATTCTTAATTGTTTGTATTTGTGAAATTGCAGTGACATGCAAAATTTTATTTTGAAGAGGTAATGGATTAGCCACTATATCTGAATTTGTTTGGACTGCTGAACGCCTTATGTTTTGTTACTTATAAAACGAACATGAATTACAGTATGGTGTCATAGGAGTGCCATAATATAAGGACATAAATGTTTTTAATTGTTTTTTTAGAGATTCACTGATTGTATCGACCAATTATCAGTATCAGCTGATAGAGCAACAATCAGCTATCTGCCCCTTGTTCAACATGAGCCACCCCCTATAGTCCCCTTTAAAATGGCGACCCAAAATGCTTTGCACACTCGCGTACTAAATAGAGAAATGTCTGCTGTGTGGATTTCTTTGAATGTCAGCGACAACTATGCTAGACATGCATTTTATAAACATTACTCTACTAAAATTTCACGAGGAGGATAAACATTTCAACACAAATTTGGTTGCAAAACTTAAGGCGACACAGTATGAAGAGTTTCTAAAAAGCATATCCGTTCCAATAAAGACTGCAGTGCTGCCTAATAATGCTAGTCCTTCAGTAATGCAAACATTTGATAGCGAAATTCAGTGCAAACGGTGCGAAAAATATGGAGTTTATCGTACTTGATGATCAGCCCTTCTCTGTTATAAATAGGCTGCATTTACAAACAGGGATGCACATAACTGGCACGCAAACATGCATTCCCCTATAAAAACCGTACGTGCTGAAATTAGTGGTGGGCGGATCGATCCAAGTATCGGTAATAATGTTGGTATTGATATTGACCAATACCAGTTCAATGAGATCAGTGCTTGAAGTGGGAAAAAATAAGTGCAGGAACTCTAATTTTCCGACATTTGTGCGGTGAAAAAAAGTCTTTAGGATGTGTTGGTTCAAAAACTATTTTAATTTAATCATTCTTCCAAGCAATAACCTATAGGCATAGGCTACTTTTTTCTAATTCATAAATGGAATACTGAAAAACCATTAAAACAACATGAACCAGACCAGTGTGATACATGTAGGCCTAACAATAGACTAGGGCTAAAGCTGATGCGATTGGTTGGGACTCAGTGGATGCATATGATAGGGCACTGTCGTGGCTCGTGGGTAATGTAGTCTTTTATCGGTCTTGCGTCTCGCGCCACTGTCGCTGCGTCGGATCAGTTTCATTAAGTACCGGAACGCAGAAAAAAAGTGGCGGAACCCAAAAGACGAAAATACAGAACTTCAAGCACTGAATGAGATCGATACTATCATACTTCAGTTTCTCTCCCGAATGCACTGCGGCTGTCTGTGTTCGTGCTGCTGCTCTCAATTGCCGCTCCCGGCTGTCACGTGACTCGGCGGCGCCAGGATAGCAAACAGAAGAGGGCGCGCACACACACACTATATATAATTCTTATAATAAAGTATTATAATAGTGGGTCGCTGAGTCATGCTCGCAATAATTAAACAGCAGGGATAGTTCGGGGTTTTATCATCAGAATGCGTTCATTACACCCGCACTACTACAACCCACACACCGGCACTGCTCACCGTGCACGTCGCCCCGTTTACTCCTCATACACACGGTGGGCGCACGCACACATACACACACACACACACTACATACAACAATAAACATTAACCACTATACATGACATAACACACAGCACATTTATAATCACACAAGCGACTACTGAGAACTATTTACAAGCTGGAATCAGTCCAACATGTTGAGCTGCCGGCCTTTACCTCCACACTACAGTATTTATTTACTTAGAAACTTTCTGTCCTGAGTTTTACCTAATTAATAAAAAAAAAAAATCGCAAAAACACTTAAAGTTAATGAAAATTAAATCAGCTTTAACAATTTGATGATACGTCCACCTTAATTATTAAGAAGTATCAATATCGGTATCGTATCGGCGATACTTTCCCTGTATTTACTTGGTATGGCATCGATACCAAATCTTGCAGTATTGCACACCACTAGCTGAAATCCATTGTTATAACAGCGCAAATGTGCCTGTATTTTATGTGCATTTGCGGTGATATGGCAAGAACTTACTGAGCATTTTAACCTTTATATGCTAATTGAAACATTTGCGGTATAAAGGTTAAAATGATTGTTATTCTTTTTTCGGACTACTGAAAACTATAAAAGGCGCAAATGTATCGCTACAATCCGATGCAGCAACAACTGGAATTCAAACTTTGAAATGTAAATTTATTGTTGTCATTTTGTGTCAATTATGTCGGATTTTTGAGTAAAACAACACCTCAAGTTATATAATGTATTGACTACTCATCAATTAAACATTTAGCATCATTCATTTATATTACGTGCAACTATAAAGTTCTTGTCAGCATTTATTACAAAACATCCACGATGATGATGAGCCTTGGGTTCTAAAAACAAATTGAGGGAAGTGTTAGCTAGCCAAGATAAACCCAGTTTTCCCTATAAGGCGCTTCTCCACAAAAAAAAGTTTAGGCAACCAGATAACTTTAAATGTTTCTACGAAATATGTCGTCAGGAAACCCGATTGCTGGCCATATATAAAAGTCCATGGTTGTTTGGGAAGTTGGACGGGTCCCAGCCGAGTCCAACTGCCAATTGTTTCGCAGTTTCCTCCATTAAAATTGGGTATTCTACAGCACGTTTTGCCTCTCGGTCTGTCTGAGTATACGGCCCGCCAAGATGATTGATTGACAGCTTAATTAATTGGCCCTTCGGGACAAAGCAAAAGCAATAAGGAAAGAGTAATACAGAAAAAGGCGAACGCAATAAAAAAAAAACGGATTTATTTTCTTATAGTTTAAGTTTAATTTTTATTTATTTTACTTTCTTGCATTTATTTCTTTATTCTTTTAATAATAATAATAATAATACATCTTATTTATAACGCACTTTACAAATCTCTGCAAAACAGTCCGTTATATTCAGAGTTGCTGTATGCCCAGAATACAACTACAGGACACAATTTACTCATGTCACACCCCAGCAGACACTCTTGTGTTATAGATTAGGCCACTTAAAATTAATAAATTGTTTTACATGATTCAAACTTCTAAAATATTGGTGAGTAGGGGATTTTATATTTTATATTTTTAGCGAAAAGACGAACGGCAACAGAGATATACTAAAACTAGAAAATTAAATTTTATTCTGTCAGTGTCTCAACATTTTAAACTCTCAACAGTGCAAACAATAAAAAGTGGAAAAATCCGAGGCTGACATTCAAGATTTTTCACTTACGGCAGTCAGTTTGAGAGAAACACAAGATGATTTCAAACGACGTACGTGCGTATTGACGATGGCGCACGTGCGTATTGACGATCTCTGCGTATTGACAATCTCTGACAGTTTTTGAGGTGAAAAAAACGGATTTTTTTAGAAATATAAAATATAAAAAAAATCGAGGCGGTACCAAAAAATTGAGGCGGGCGGCCATGTAAAACAATTTATTAATTTTAAGTGGCCTTATTATATTGTACATGTAGTAATCGAACTTTACTTGACCAGATGCGTGACTATTAATAATCCCGACTACGTATCTGCGCTGCATATCAACAGCACGCCACGCGCCTTTTGGCGGAGCTGCATGTCCGTTACAGCCGAACAAAACTACAGGTAAAAGCAGCCCTGGGGACCAAATTGTTTGTCCGTTATAAGCGAAATTCTGTTATGTGGAAGTCCGCTATATCCAGGGGCGGATTAAGGTGTACAGAGGCCCCTAGGCTACAGTAGTCTGTGGGCCCCCCAACCCCACCCCCCTCCGCGCCAATGGGGGCCCCCTTGCAGGCTGGCACACGTGGGGCCCCTAGTCTTAAGCCATATCTAGCCTGTGCGTTAATCCGCCCCTGGCTATATCCGATGTGTTTTCTGCATGTTCTTAAAGGCGCACGGCCGGGACCAGCGGACCTCGTCCGTTATAAGCAAGTCCACTATAACGGGATTTATACTGTATAAAGAAAAAAAATTGGAATGATAAAATTTGTTAAAAAGGAAGGATTTAAGTCCTTTTTTTAAAAAACTGTCAGTAGATAGGGCTGCCCTCAGAGTGTCAGGAAGGGCATTCCGTAGGCAAGGTGCAGCAGCACAGAAGGCCCGATCGCCCATCGTGCAGAGTTTAGTTCTGGGAGGATGGAGGCCATTTAATTGTGAAGAGCGGAGGGGTCACGTTGTGGTTTGAGTTATCAGTTCTTTTAAGTAAAGAGGAGCGTTTCCATAAATGCACTGTTGGGTGAGGAGAGAGAAATAACAAAAAAAGTTAAAACATGGCAAGCATAGAAATAAAAAGAAATAAAATAGTAATATTTGACTCGGAGGGAGAAGCGGTAAACATGCGACGCCAGCGTCCTCTCCACTTCACATGCGAACGTGAGACCACTAATTCCACTAACTAAAAGTTCATACATTACTCATAACAGATTTATAATAACTGATTTATTCTTTTTTATGGAATTCCTGTGACTCAATATAACAATTTGATGAAATCAAGAAATACATTTGAGCAATACTTGTTTATTTTGATATTTTCTGTGGCATCCTATGAGCAATTTCCATCTTCCCTCCCCCACAGACGGGTCAGTCAGTTCCCACTGTTCCTGCATTCAAAAATGAATGGGTCCAGTGGGCATACAGAACTCTGTTGTGGCCCTCCCTCCACCAGAAGTCTCTCCTGAAGAAAATTCTTAGCTAACCCAAACCCTAAAGCTGCAAGTCTCGCAGTTGCATTTACTTGTCCTTTAATTAAGCGTAAAGGTTTTGTAATATTGTACTCATGAGTCGTGTCCTTTCCCACAGCGGCCTGACCACCATGTCTACTCAGGCACCAACATTCATACAGCCTCTGCAAAGCGTTGTGGCACTTGAGGGTGGTGCTGCAACGTTTGAGGCTCTAATTAGTGGTAAGGAGGCATCCGCATAAACAAAGAAACTTAAATAAAATCAAGAAATTAGAACATGTTATGTATTTAGATTAATATAATATAGATTTAGTATTTTATATAAATTTAGAAAACGTTGTGTATAACTGCTATCATCTGTCATTACAATTGACTTGTCATGATAAATGGTATGTCAACAGGTGTTCCGGTTCCTGAGGTGAGCTGGTTTCGTGATGGCCAGGTGCTTTCTGCTGCCACTCTGCCCGGCGCACAGATCTCGTTCAGCGATGGCCGCGCTGTTCTGATGATCCCCGCCGTGACAGCGGCACACAGTGGAAGGTTCTCTGTACGAGCCACCAATGGTGCCGGACAAGCCACTAGCACCGCAGAACTACTTGTTACAGGTGAAAATGAGTGGAATGTTCTATATATTGAATCAACATGCTGTCCTATATCAGTAAATATTATTGAACTGTTTGAAATAAAGAGCAGTTAATGTTCATTCAGTGATTCAATAGCTTGAGAAAAATGAATTAAGAACTAGTCATCGATTAGTTAGAGATATATCAGTATTACTTGTAATTTACTAGAACTATACAATATATATAAAAAAACAAGAAAATTCTTATAATTGCGTTTCACACAATCCAAATTTGATAGTAAGGACCTTAGAATACCGAAAGTACTGGCATGTAGTAGGTGGCAAACTAGTAAAAATTGACATTTTAGAAATCCTTTTATTCTTTAATTTTGTTAATAGATTATCTTCAAAAATCAACCAATGTGTAATATACAAGCATTTTTATGTATAAGAAATTTAATTCAATAATTATATTCAAAGTATTGGATTTTTCTTTCTTTCTATCTATCTATCTATCTATCTATCTATCTATCTATCTATCTATCTATCTATCTATCTATCTATCTATCTATCAGTGGAAACTGCACCTCCAAACTTCATTCAGAGACTACAGAGTATGACTGTGAGACAAGGAAGCCGAGTAAGATTGGATGTACGCGTTACAGGAATCCCTACACCTGTGGTGAAGTTCTATAGGGAGGGAGCTGAGATTCAGAGCTCTGCTGACTTTCAAATTGTTCAAGAAGGAGACCGTTACAGTTTGTTAATTGCTGAGGCCTTTCCTGAGGATTCTGGAACATACTCCGTCAATGCTACCAATAGTAGTGGGCGTGCTACTTCTACTGCTGAACTGCTGGTTCAAGGTAATATTTATTTATGTTTTTATATAACATTTTAATATGAACTCCTAATGCATGTACTTTACTTTTCTCGGTCTGTTGCATATACTTATTACTCTAATTTATTCAGAATATTTCTGACATTATTGTATTATTATTCATTATTATCCTTTGTTGTACGTTTTCAATATCCAGGTGAAGAGGAAGCAATTCCTGCCAAGAAGTCAAAGACTGTTATTTCCACTGCTCAAATATCTCAGACTCGACAGACACGAGTAGAGAAGGTAAGCTTTGAAAACTAAAGATTGAATTCAGACACTGATAAAGAGATACATTACTAGCCAAGACCGTTCAAAATCTTTCACAGAGAGCGAAAGCTTATTATCAGGCTACAGCCACCACTATGATGGAAGTCCATGTGGATGAAGGTGATACTGCTCAGCAGCTGCTACACAAGGCTCCCCCATCTGTGGCCCCAAAGCCAACTTCAAAGTCCCCAACATCCTCACTAGTGTCAAAAGTTGCAGGCGCACGTCAACAGTCACCTTCTCCTGTGAGGCATATTAAAGGACCTACTCCACCTCCTGTAAGGTAAGCCTGGAACAAGTATTAAGCAATATTTTTTAAAAAAGAAAAACATATGTAGTATTTGTAACTTAATATGGAACAGCAGACAATTTATATATATATACACATGCACACATACTGTATATAACACATATATATACACACACACACACATATGTTTGTGTTCATATCTCTGTGAGGATTGTCCATTGATTTATATGGGCATAACCCAAATCCCAACAATGACAACCTTAACCCCCACCCAGCCCTAACCTTAACCATAAGTAACCAAACAAGATACAAGGCTTTGGGGTTTTTGTTTAAATTGAGTCACATACACACTTAGGCTCTGTCTAGTGCAGTTAGTTTGTTTCTCATCTCTTTTAAAGGCATGAATTTTCCCCTGGGAAATGACCCCCATCCATTCTTAATTAGATTTGAATTAAATTTGGTTAATTTGTTTTTTGAGAATCTAATTACTTTTTCCACATTTGGCCAGTTGGTCTTGGATAACTATTTTGTTTACTTAGGTTGTCTTTGTCTTGTATTTTTGTTTGAAGATCTGAAACAACTATGTGTGACATATATGCAAAAACAGAAGAAATCAGGCAAATTCTTTTTTTTTTTTCCTTGCAGTGTATGGAGTAAATGTAAAAAATATGCAAATCTTACATGCACAGTACTTTTCCTTGGTAAACATACCTTTGAAAGGAGTTATAATTTATAGCAAAGTTTGCTTGTTTTCACAGGTCAGTGTCTCCCTCTACAAGGCTGTCAGTCTCCCCTATCAGACCAGTCAAATCTCCGTTGATGACCCGCAAGCAGATTACGCCAGGCTCTGATGTCCTCCCTCCCTGGAAGCAGGGAGATTATGTAGCTGAATCCAGCTATACTAGCATGATTGCCAGTGCCTCACGTGTCCAGACCTCTACCACTCAAGTGCAAATGGAGCAGCGGTGGGAAGGCTATGGGGTACAGCAGCAAGTAACTGGGATTGTAGCGAAAGAGGTAAGGAAACCTAGGTGGCTTATTGACATGTCTGCATGTTTGGTTCAAAACATTGAATGAAATGCAGGCTATTGGATTTTCTTATCACGAAGAATCTTCTTGTTGGCTGTTCACACAACTTCTAGGCATTACGTAAGTTATTTAGGGATGGACCAGTCCACATTTTCTCAGTTCCAGTCCGATTCCGATACACAACTGCCGAAACGAATACAGATTCCGATACAAGAGCTCTTTTTACTTTAATATATCAATTTTACACAGCCATGGTAAAAAATAAGAGACCACTCTATATTTTTGAACAAATCTCCATTTTTAAATCCTGGTTTAATCGTGTGTCTGCTGCCAGAAGGCTACACTGAGCAACGGGATGCTTCCAGGTTCAAAATGTATTATTTTTTTTGCATTGAAGTCTTTATTGATTTTCTCTGGAAGGTTTGGTACATAGCATACATCCGCAAAAATACACACTTACACCCATACATGTGCAGACATGGTTCTCAAATTAAAATATTCAGTATACATTATTGGGGGTGGGGGATGAGGGAACCTACACAGCACAAACTGTTGTTTTCATATGAGTCCAAAATCTAACCCATAGTGAAGTTGTATCAGTTTTAATCTTCTTTCAATCTAATGAGCATACACTCGTAAGACGATATTTTCACCATGACCCCCATCCATTCTTTCACATCTGGGGTCCTAGTTGTTTTCCAGTGCCTCAAAATTATTCAGGATGCAGTGACTAAACCAGTTATAATACCTGAAAATAAGTTCTTCAATATATTTGGCATCTAAGATCTGTCAGTCTTGGGGACAAAGGAAAATCTGATGCATACCAGCTACTCAGTATCTTTAAAACTTCAACCCAGAAATGCTTGATCAGGAGGAAATCCCATATACAATGCAAAAAAATTACGGTCTCCATTCGGCACTTCCAGCACCTATTATCATTCAACAGCTTCATTCTGTACAGTCATAATGGTATATGTTAGTACCTATGCAGTATTTTATACTTGCTTCCATCACGAATTTGCCACAACCTGCCAAAATGTTCAGCCCTTTCTCTTGTTCTATTTCTATGCCTAAATCTCTCTGCCAGAGCACTAATATATTGGGAGAGGCCTTACTTATAAAATTAGTAGTAGACTTATAAAAAAGGGAAGCTGTACAGCATTCCTGCTGCACATCTGAGTATCTAAACAAATTATAATCAACCTTTCTACAAACAGAATTTATACAGCTCCTTATCTGTAAATATCTCAAAAAGTTCCCTACTGCTCTTACTACCAAATCGTTCAACAAATTTCCCATAAGGCACAGGCACTCCGTCCTTATACATGTACGCCATAGTACGTATGCCACAGGAATGCCACCCCCTCCAAAACACTGCCATTTTCCCGATACGAATTGCAGGATTATGCCATGGCGAAGAATATTTTTGTATTCGATGTAATAGTTTGTACATTCTGTGAGTTTTGACCCATACTTCACTAGAATAGCCAAGTGATGGATTGGCTGAATTCCCAGAGCCCTGGGAAAGGGCATTGATGGGATGAAATGGTAAACTCAAATCAAACTCAATATCCAACCAACAATGCTTAATTGTATTGTCATATTTGAAAATTACATTTGGTATTGTGATTGGCAGCATCACAGCTATATAATTAAATTGAGGAGCTACAGTAATTTTAATAATGTTATTTTTTTCCCCACAAAGTCAGATTAATCTTCTCCCATTTATCCAGATTGTTTTTGATCCTAAGCAATAATGGATTAACATTGTTTAGTGGCATTCCCTCAAGATCCTGTCATAATTTAATTCCCAAATACCTCATTACCTCTGGGACCCACTTGAAATGAAACTTCTCCAACATGTATGGAAGACTTTGAAAGGGGCATTTGTTCTAGTTTATAGCATAACCTGAAAACCTAGAAAATGAATGAATAGTGTCCATTAAATTAAGCAGAGATGTCACCGGGTCTGTCACCGTAATCAAGACACTGTCCACGTACAACAATAGTTTATGTTCTTTACCGCCTCCCTCTATACCTCGAATAAGACCATTATTTCTAATTACAATGGCTAAGATTTCTATAAAAATAATGAACAGTAAGGGACTTAATGAAGAACCCTGAGGAGTACCCCTGCGAAGAGGGTGAGGTTATACCATTTGTTATCGCTGCTGCTTTGGGTTCCTTATACAATGTCTTTATCCACTTAATTAAACTAGGACCAAATCCAAAATGAGACGAAGTTAAGAAAAGAAATTCGTTAACGTTTGGCAAAACCTGCTGCAGCCTTAAAGCCAAAATCTTAGTCAGGATCTTGCTATCCAAATTAAGCAAACTTATTGGCCTGTACTGTAATTTGCAGGGTCTGTCGTGTCCTTGTCTACCTTGGCGTAAGATATTAAGGCATCATTAAAGGTTGGACTTTTTAACCAAATTTCCTGATACACTTTTAGTAATATTGGGACAACTACATGAACATACTGTTTGTAATACTCTATCCCATCATATCCAGGTGATATCCCATTTTTCATAACAGATATTGCCTGTGCAATATCACCTTCACTTTTGCAAGATTCCAACACTTCTGCCTAATCAGTCTGCAGCCTGGAAAAGAACAATTCCAGGTCTTCTTGCATGGTGCCCGAGGATGTTGCAGACGTATATAATCTGACAAAAAACCTCATTCATATCACCCTGTCTAATTACTGGTATCATATTAGAGCATCCCTTTTCCTACAGTTGTCTATCCAACAATTTACCTGTCTTTTCACCTCCTTCATAAAAATTGGTTTTCATACGATATAATGTATGTTCTGCCTTCTAAATATCATGTAAGTGAAATTTAAGTCTACAGTTCTTGAAATTGTAAGTTTGAAAAGGCTTGAGACAATTGAGTTTCTTTAACTTTGATTTCATTTTTCAATTCCTTATTCTATCCAAGTTTTCCTTCTTTTTTCCTGCCTGAGCTGTAAGATTTCCCCTCACATATGCTTTCGAAGCTTCCCAAACATTTCAATATTCAGTTTGGAAAACATTGGTAAAACTCTTCAGCATTGTATTGTGCAATGTTTAACGAGTGTAAGTAGAATTACTTATCGACCTGCTAACACTGAGGCTCTCACTCAGTAAGATGCTTTAATTAGAATATTAAATTTTATGTTTCTGCACGCTCCGCTATGGGTAACTTGTGCTCTGGAATACAAATGTTGTCCTTAGGCTGAAGGTGGAAAAAAGGCAGAGGCAGTGGCCACAGTCCTTGCTGCAGTTGACCTAGCACGCATTCGAAAGCCTGCACAGGCAGAGGAGGGCCACGCAGAAGAGGAGATCTTAGAGCCTGACTTAAAACGGCAGGCTCTGGACACTCAAGCTTCTAAAATGATCACCATGACCATGAAAACCGAAGCGCTACAAATTCCCAGTTCCTCTCAAATTGCTTCCGATGAACATAGGGTTCAGGTTTCACAGGTTAGATATCTTTTTGAAAAACATTATTGTCTTAACACAGGAATAAGTTTTTGCTTGTCATCCCTCAACCTGTAATCTGTTGGTCACTGTAGATCCAAAGAAGTACAGAAACTACAACAACTCATGTGGACACCTCGCTTGCACCATCTCCAATACCGCATTTCACTGTTTCTAAAGTTACTGTTCCTAAACCTGACCATAGCTATGAGGTAAGCATGAGGACTATCAGGCAAGCAGTGAAATGTTAGATTGATTATCAGACATTCAAATTTAAAGATAATGGAAAAAATTCTTTCAGAATCCATTCATCCATCCATTTTCCAGTTGCATATCATGAATAGGGTCATGGGATTGTTTTGCAAATTGTTAAACTATTTTGATTTTATTTATTCTTCTTGATTAGGTTTCCATAGCAGGTTCTGCTATTGCTTCACTGCATAAAGAACTATCTTCTACTTCTGCTGCTCAAAAGATCATCAGGCCTGTGAAGCCTCCTTCTCATAAGATTGTGGAGATGAAAGCAAAGCAAGAGCCAACCCCATCACCTTTTAAAGATACCAGTGAAAGATTTCAAATGCATTTTGGCACTCTCTCACAGACAGAGATAGGCACTTCTTTTACAGGGGGCATGGAGCAGATACATGAACAGTGGGAGAAACAGGTTTGTGGTCCAGGTTGTAATCCCCTTCTTGTGAACTCCTTGATTGTAAATACCACCCCCCCACATCCTGTTTTTACCTTAAATTTTGCTGTACAAATGTGCTTCTCAGGAATTCTTACTCATTCATCCTTCTTTTTCTTCCTTCAATGTTTTTGTCAGCCTTAGCCACATTGGTTGCTTATACTGTACATTGTTGACAATAATATACACATTTTGCAGGCTGTTGAGGCTTCAACAATCACCATACCTGCACAGGAGACCGTGGCTCCTCCTACCCTTGTCATTGTAAGTGTTTTTTAGATGTCAGCATGTCTTTTTTCCATACTAATGAACAAACTAGCAAAATGTATCTCTTTGCCATTCTCAGGGTTTGAAAAATGTAACTGTCACTGAAGGAGAATCTGTGACTTTGGAGTGCCAGATATCAGGTCACCCGACCCCGACGATTATGTGGTTTAGAGAAGACTATAGGATTGAGAGCTCTGTTGACTTCCAAATCACTTATGAGACTGGATATGCTCGTTTGGTTATCCGTGAAGCTTTTGCAGAGGACAGTGGTCGTTTTACTTGCACAGCTACCAATCAGGCTGGAACTGTCAGCACCTCCTGCTACCTACTTGTGAAAGGTAAAATGGAGACAAGTAATTTTTTTGTTGATGTTGTAACATAGGTTTATGGTTATTCATATTGTGTGTGGTTTTCTTTCTCAGTATCAGAAGAAATTGATAGCAAGGATACTTTCCCTGCTGCTCATGTTTCTCTAAATGGAACGGAGAAACCGTGAGTGACATATTTAATAAAACTGTAGATCTGAGATGCAGCATGGTTGCGGAGTAGTGTTACCAGTAAAAATAATGCATTGTTAATTATAATTATTTGCTCTTAGCTGGCCAGTTGAAGCAAAAGAAGAAATTTTAGAGCTGACTACCAGTGCAGAGGCTATGGCACCATTCTTTGTAAAGAAACCAATCGTACAGAAGTTATTGGAAGGTGGTAGTGTGGTTTTTGAGTGTCAGATTGGTGGTAGTCCCAAGCCTCATATTTACTGGAAGAAGGCTGGAGTTCCCCTTACTACTGGATACAGGTAATATCCGTATCAGCAACACTTTAGCAATATTAAATGTGTAATTAGGTAATTAATTTATACCTAACAATATTTACATTTATCTTCCTTCAGAAACAAAGTGGTCTACAACAAGGATAGTGGAGAGTGCAAGCTTGAGATCTCCATGGCATTCGCTGACGATGCAGGAGAATACACTATCTTTGCTAGGAATCAGTTAGGAGAGGCTTCAGCGTCTACTACATTGCTTGAGGAAGGTTAGTATTACTAAGATATACTACAAAATATCCATGCAATAAACTAAAAGTATTATAAAAGTATTAAAGTATCAGCTATTTTAAGCCAGTTATATTGGGCAGCTGTTCATAGTTCTGCAAAATATGTGTTTCTTAATTTTTGTTGTTATCTACATAAACACTTTGCATGATCTGTTTTCTAGCGGAATATGAAACGTACATGAAGATGCAGGAAATTACATTCAAAACTGAAATGACCACAATGGTGCAAGAACCCAAAGTAGCAGATGTCCCTCCAGCGATTATTAGTGAATATGAAAAAGAAGAGATTCTTATGCAGAAGAGGATGGCCCAACAGATGCAAACAATGAAGACCTTTATGACAGAGCAGGTGCTGAAATAAAAAGTTACAATTACTGGATATTAATAAGAACATTAAGAACATAAGAAATCTATAAACAAGAGGATGCCATTTGGCCCATCACGCTTTTTTGGGGAGAACTTAGCTAATAGCTCAGAGTTGTTAAAATATTATCTATAAATATTAAAGGGACCCAGGGTTTTAGCTTGCACTAGACTGACAGGGAGACTATTCCATACTCTAACTACACGATGTGTAAAGAAGTACTTTCTCAAATCCATTTTATAAGAATAAATTAAAAAAACAAATATACTGTTGTAAAACCACTGCACATGTTGTTACAGGAATTCCAAATCTCTGCTTATGAGGAAAGAATTATTCTTGAGATCGAGTTCTACATTGTTAGAATTAGTTATCAGGAGTTAGTGAATGAAGATGGGGAAGAGATTATTATGAATATATCTGAACATGAAGCCATAGCACCAACCTTCTACACCCCAGTGAAGAGCTACCGGGTTTTGGAGGGAATGGGGGCTGCTTTCCACTGCAGAGTAGGAGGAAATCCACTTCCTAAGGTAATTTAAAAATGGACAACTTAGTTTGGTTCTATTGTGACTTAACCTTCCTAAAATGCCAAATGAAGAATGAATTAGAAAAGAAGTTTAATTCCTTATTTTCTGTCAAGTTGCATTCACTGATGTAAGCTAGTTCATTTCTTTTTCCATCTTAAAGATTGCCTGGTACAAAGATGGCATGCGCATCAAGCATGGTGGCCGATATCAGATGGAGGTTCTGCAGGATGGGAGAGCTAGTCTCCGGATTCCTGTTCTATTGCCAGAAGATGAAGGTGTCTATACTGCCCTTGCGAGTAACATGAAGGGAAATTCTGTCAGCTCAGGCAAGTTATACGTGGACCCTGCAACCACAGCTGTGGCTCAGTCATATTATCTTCAGCCAGATGCAATCAGCAGAATCAGGTCAGTTCTATCTCTGTTTTACTATTCTTTTATTTAAAAATAGTTGGGTTTACTTTGGCGTGGTTGTTCATACCTTTCACACCAATTGATTTATATATATTTCACATTAATCTTCCTGTTATTGTCTAACTTAATATTTATTTTGCTGTTAAGTAGTTGGATATTTAAATTTATTTACTTTGACTCTTTGCCAATGATTTATTGATCACTCTGATTGTATGTTATCTTAGTTCTACTTCCCCTCGCTCTTTGAGTCGGTCTCCCGGACGTTTTTCTGGCCGCTCTCCCACACGAAGACTAGATGAGACAGATGAGAGCCTGTTGGAAAGACTGTACAGACCTGTGTTTCTTGTGAAGCCCTTCTCCTTGAAGTGTTCTGAAGGAGAGACAGCCAGATTTGATGTGAAAGTTGTTGGCAGACCCATGCCTGAGACTTTCTGGTTCCATAATGGTGAGCGACTGTTTAACACAATTGTCAAACATATATTTATATAATCAACAGGTAGACCTGCGGCTTCATTGAGAACCTGTGCTAGTTAATATATATTTGTTTATTGTTTTAGGGCAACAAATAGTCAATGACTACAACCATAAGATAGCAGTAAAGGAAGATGGAACTCAGTCGTTAATTATTGTCCCAGCTATGCCTCATGACTCTGGGGAGTGGACTGTTGTAGCTCAAAACAGAGCTGGAAAAACATCTGTGTCCATGACTCTGACTGTTGATGGTATGATATGTCTTCCATAAATTTTCTTATATTAATTATATCGGGTCCTGGGTGCATATTTTTAAACCATAAATTCAGTTGTCATTTCTCTCTCTCTCTCTCTCTCTCTCTCTCTCTCTCTCTTTTCTTTTCTCTGCTTTCTCATTTTCGATCAAATTGTTCAAAAAAATATATACAGTGG